ATGATGCAGCTGTTGTTGCCCATTCTGCTGAAGACCTCTAAGAACTCATGAATCACTTTAGCAAGGCCTACCAGGACTTTGGATTAATAATCAGCTTGAAGAAAACACAAGTCAGGGGTCAGGGTGTGGACTCACCTCCCTCTGTTACCATCTCCACACAAGAATCGGAGGTTGTTCATGACTTTGGGTACCTTGGCTCAACAATCTCTGACACTCTCTCCTTAGATGTTGAGCTGGATAAACACATTAGCAAAGCAGCTACCATGTTCTCTACACTCACAAAGAGAGTATAGCTTAATAAGAATCTGACTGCATATACCAAGATCCACGTCTATAGAGCCTTGTTCTGAGTACGCTCCTGTATTGTAGTGAGTCCTGGAACCTTCGTGCATGGTAGGAGAGGAAGCTGAACATATTCCATATGCATTGTCTCTGATACATTTTTGGTATCACCTGGCAGGACGAAGTTCCAAACAGAGTAGTCCTAGAACCAGCCGGAATGGAGAATTAGTGCAGGGAAATCGTCCCAGAGGGAGACGACAGCTGTGATACATGGATATCTTCAAGCAGGATCTGAAGGCCTTAGGAATGGACCTAAACAGATGGAAAACCTTGACCTCAGAGCGTTCAGCCTGGAGGCTGGCGGTGCATTATGGCCTCTCCCATGTCCAGCAGGCCAAGGCAAAGAAGCAGTCCTGAAACCAGCAAAATAGGGCAAAGAGGCAGTCCTGAAACCAGCAAAATAGGGCTGGACCAGGGACAGATTGTATTTCTCTTCAGTGTGGAAGGGATTGTCACTCTCGAATTGGCCTTCTCAGCCACACTAGATGCTATTCCAAGTCCTCCATATAGAGCACATTACCATAGTCTCTTGAGACTGAAGGATGCCTAATCTAAGTCAGGTTCTACTTGATGACACATAACCATGTTAATAAAATGAACATAAGAAAATGGGTGTGCCAAATTGGTAAATGACTAAATTTTTACCGGCCTAAAACTATACTAAACCCAAATTGGTACAAAATGCATTTGAATCTGAATTCCCAGCCTCAGTTTTCTGATTGAAATAAATTCACATATAAAATAATCTTAGGCCATTAAGTTCCAATTTATGGTGACCCTTTCCAGGATTTTCTAGGTGGAGAGGACTCAGCACTGTAGTGGCTTACCATTCTGTTCTTCTGGGGCTATCGTGGTATGTGTGCTGCTTGTCCAAGGCCATACAGGCTGGCTCTTCTGGGATGCACCGTTGAAATCCCAGCCTCTGGCTCTGAAGCCACACACTTAAATCACTGAACTATCTGGCCAACTTTAAATTCACATATACTGAATGATATATGAATGTCCATCAATACAGAGATGGTAGTGTGAACTCACCCACAGTGACGATTTTGACCTGGGGTCAAGTTCTGATTTCAGTCATGACCTTATTAGATGTGCTTGGGCAAGTCTTACAAAGTGGGGACAAATTTTTATCTATAAACTGAGCAAAATACGGAATTCTGTACTTCATCTAACACTTGCAAGTGTTTTGACATCTTTTTTCCCCACCATCATTTTCACAGCTTTGCCTCGTCTCCCCTAACAGAAGGTAGTTATGAGTTTAGCTTCTTCTTTGTAAGTTGTTATACTATTGGATCCTCTTCAGGTGAAAGACGAGGTATAAATCTGTTAAGTAAACATATAAATCAAATACTGTATTGTAGCACTTCAAAGATTCGGAGGCAGCGCTTTCCTTTACTACTGGGGGAGGTCTCTGCGCCCCAGCTTACCAGACGGGCGAAGAACATCCCTGCGGGAGAAGGAGAACGAAGCCAGTGTCAGAAACCCCGGCTGAAGTGACACGGAGGGACGGAGCCCGTCGGTCTCCCACGGGCTCGCCGTGTTTGCGCAAAGGTGGCTGCCAAGCGCCCGAGGCACCGAGCCGTCTTTCGCGCCCCCCTCACCCACCCATCCGCGCGGGGCCAAGGAAGCGCCGCGGGATCTGTTTCGGGTCGCTCGCGATGCATTTTCCCCGGTCCTCTCCAAGCGGCGCAACAAGGACAAAAGTGCCCCGGCCAAGGTGGGCGGGGGAAGCAGCCACACGGAAGGTGGGAGCCTTGGAAGTTAACGAGAAATCCACTCGGGACTCTGGGCTCCCTCGGACTCGAGGCGGGCGGACCCCTCCCCCTCCCCCTCCCGCTGCCTCCCGCAGCTGGCCCTCTCGCTCATTTGTTGCTCCAATAAGCAATAATTAGGTTCTAAGCAAATGATGGACTAAGCAAATCATGGACTGCTGCCTTGTCGTGGCGAAGGGGCTTGAGTAACTCAGAGTGTCTGCGAAGCAACCAACATGAACCTGACACAACTCCGGGAGGCAGTAGAAGACAGGAGGGCCTGGCGTGCTCTGGTCCATGGGGTCACGAAGAGTCGGACACGACTAAACGACTAAACACACACAAGCAAATGATGTGTCAGCTGATCTGATGGGAGGGTAGAAGAGGAACGGAAGGTGGAGGGCGGTGGGGGTGTGTGCGCGGAGACAGGCTAGGGTAGACGAGGCGAAGTCTCCATGGAAACGCTCCCCCTCGCACGCCCCTCCCTCCTCCCCCCCACCTGGCTCTGGCTGGGAGAGGATGTGGAGCTGCCTGCCTCCCCTTCCTCCCGCTGCCTCCCCTGCGCCACCTTGCCGCCCGCGGCTCAGGCCAGCCCCCGCCTGCGCGGCGCTCTCTAACCTGCAGCCGCCCGCCCGCCTGCAGCATGCGCACTGCCCGGCATCCCTAAATGGGACAATTCTGTCCGTCACGCCGCCGCTCAGCCGTCTCCACAGAAACTTTTGTCCCGCTGGCCAATCAGAGGAGGGCGGGCGAGGAGCAGGGAGGGGGGCCGAGGGAGAGGGAGAGGGAGAGAGAGAGAGGGGTTTAGCAGGGAGCTTTGCTCGCGCTTCGGCTTGCGCTGCCGGCTGTCAGTCCCGGTTCCTGCGCCGCGAGACCTTCCAGTAGAGCCACTGAACAGAGAGAGCGGCTGGCAGGGAAGAAGGCGGGGGAGGGAGGGAGGCAAGCAGGCAGGCAGGAAGGCAGGCTGAGAGAGAGAGAGAGAGAGGCTGCGAGAGAGGGTGAGGGGAGAAGAGGAGGAGGAGGAGGAGGAGGAGGCGGAGGCGGGAGAGGCAGGCGGGCACTGACCATTTTCCAAGTACCTGTCTGGGACAAGACGGAGGCGCGGCGCGCGCAAGGTGCCAGGGCCATTCATTTACCTCACGGCAGCTTTCGGATGGAGGAAGAGACTCCGAGGGGAGGAGGAGGACGAGGAGGGTGGGGGAGGAAAGGGCATCATGTGCCTTCCCCTTATCCCTTATGAGCCATAGGAGGGCCTGGGGAAAAGGGGGAAAAGAGAGAGAGAGAGAGAAAAGGAGCTGGGATTGGTGTATGGCGGCGACCAGAGAGAAAGGAGCCAGGACTGGACGGGCCCAAGAGCCATGAGAGAGAAGAGACCGAGACAGAGTGGGAGTGTGTCTAGGCTCGCGCGGCGGCGGCGGCGAGGAGGAGGAGGAGGAGGAGGAGGAGGGGAACTCCCTTTCCACGGCTGCGACTAGGTGTCGAATGGAGCAGCTGCCGCCCGCCTTGGCTCGCTTGGTGGGTCGTCGGGAGGCGTTAAACAATTGGGTTCCCGAGGAAGAAGGCGCAAGAAGTCTCGGTGGCGCGGCGTGGCCCGAAGACGTCTGGAATCTCAAGTGGGACCCGGACCGGAGGCAAAAGGGACAGTAATCAAGACAGCAGGGAAGGAGGGGGAGCGGGAAGCGGGCGGCTTTCAAGCATCCGGACGCCAAAGTTCCTCGAATGCCTTGCAGCGGCTGGGAACGCACAGGGTCGTCCCCCCCACCCCCCAGGCATGGACCAGCCCGACATCGATAGGCGAGAGCACCGTCATAATTCTACGCGGAGCCCGACCGACAGCCGCCATCCCTTGGCCAACATCCTCCTGGGACTGAGCTCGCCCTCCTTTGGTCCCAAAGCTGAATTTTAGATATTATGAAAGGATTGTCTTTTCAAAATTATTCTTTTTTTCCTTGTTATTTAAGAAAGGAAGAACCGCTATAGTATGGTTTTCTCTCCTTCCCCACCTCCACAAATCCTGTGAGCCGAATTGAAATGACCTGCCGAGATTTCTCTCCATGATGAGCCCTGGAATTGTTAGGCAGGAAAGAACTTTCTATCCCACCAACAGCTTCACACCCAAAGCATGGAGATGTAGGATGGAATAAAGGGGGGAAAAGAGGCCAGTTTGCCCTTCAGCGTTTTCCTCCATCCTGCACACACGCACTCACACACACACACGCACAGAGCGAGCCTGCTTCAGGGAGAAGCAGGGTCCTCCAGGACAGACACAGGAAGGCTGCCGAGGGTTGGCTGGCTAGGGTGGAGGGTGGGCTTTTCTCTCTCTCCCCCCCCCTCCAACCTGCACCATCCGGGCTGAAGCTGATGCCCAAGAAAGACGAATCCGACTCCATGATATTTTATTTTATCTCGGTCCTTTTTTTCCCTTCGAGAAGCTAAGGGCTCTCTTTTCTTCGATGTCACAGAGGCACGGCTCTCTTGGGGGGAAAGAGGCGCCGCTGCTGTGGGAGACATTGGGATAGTCCTGCTTCGCACCATATTAAAGGGAAAGATCACGTACCGTCAAAGGGGAAGGGAAGCCCCGCCAGACCTGATCGCCTGGTTTCGAGGTGGAGATCAAGTTGAAAAATGATCGGGACTGGTGAGTCACTCTTGAACTGATCACCAAGCCCCCCTCATCCACCTTCATTGCTCCACCATCCAAGAAGAAGGCTTAGAAGCAGCAGCAGCAGCAACAGCAGCAGCGGGGGAAAGCCCACCCCAACAGCCCCTCTCTCTCTGGGGTGTGATTTGCCGCGGGACCTCTTTCTTCTCCCTGGATCTTGGTTGTGGAGGCTTCCGTCGCTATGTACCCGGGGTGAACAGGTGCCTTCCTTGGAGGTGTGGGAGATCCGTTCCCAGATCCGCTTTAGGAGCCTTGCCTCTCTCTTTCTCTCTCAGTCTCTCTCTCAGACTCTCTCTCAGGGGGATTATGGAGACCGGCGACCGGGACATGTATCGCCAGTTTCAGGACTGGTGTCTCAGGACTTACGGGGACTCGGGTAAAACTAAAACGGTGACCCGTAAAAAATACGAGCGGATTGTCCAGCTCCTGAACGGCTCCGAGACCAGCTCCACGGATAATGCCAAATTCAAATTCTGGGTCAAATCCAAAGGCTTCCAGCTTGGCAATCCGGAGGAGGTCAGTGGTGGTGGTGGTGGTACCACCGCCGCTGCAGGCGGCGGCGGCGGCGGCGGCGGGAAGCAAGTGCTCTACGTGCCAGTCAAGACCACGGTTAGTAGATAAATAGTCTTGTTGTGTAGCCACGTCAGGGGGAAAGAGTGAGGAGCCGCTGCCGCCACATAGCTGCCACTTCCACCCCCTGAGTTGGCTCAGGCGGCGCTCTCGCTCTTTCTCCTCCTCCTCCTCCTCCTCCTTTCCAATCGCGCTCCCCCCACCCACCCATGTTGCATTTGCCTGGCATCTTCTCTACTGCTCAGGGCTTTGTGATGCTTCCCTTTCTCATGCACAAAACACCACCCTGCCCCCTACGAAATCTCTCCTGCTGCTCCCCCCCCACACACACCTCTCTTCTTCTTTTCTGTACATATATGCCTGTGTTGTGCGGGAGGGTCTCTAATGTTATTTTAGCCCCATTTCCCCGGGGCTAAAAAAGGAAGGGGGGGAGGGCTTTTCCTGCAGCTACTCGCTACCCGCACGAGGCAATTTTGGATCGGCAGAGCGGAGGGGATCGTTACTGGCACAAAGCCAAACCGACTTTGGTTTGGGGGTTTCCCCGAGATGGATGGGCTTCTTTTTCTTCATTGTTAGACCCCATCCCTTGTGCAGCGGGGACATGCCTGGCTGGCTGCAGAGAGCGGATGGCAGGGCAAGCAACAAAAGAGCCGTAGGCTTGCACATGACCAAATGGGGGAATCGTTCGCGCCGCTCTCTCGCACTCACTTGCACTGTCTCACTTGATACCAGCCCAGAAGTCCTGCTTGCGAGCCTTCCAGCAGTTCAGGCTGGAAATCTAGCTGCAGATCATAGAGCAGAAGTGCTATTATGCTGGGTTATGATGGTGATGGTGGTGGTGGCAGGAAGGAAGGAAGGATTTCCTGGTTCAGAAGATGGGAACTGTTGGTTACAAGTAGGTTTGCCTTTTCCTCTCCTTCAGTATTTCTTGCTTTCTGAGCCTTAACCCTGGCCTTGATTTGTGCAAATGTGTGTAATGAAAACAATCCCTACCTTTGGTGTTTTGGTTTGGTGGAACAAGTTTTTGTTTTCTGTGCAATCTCTGGTTGGGCTAGGGGAAAAACATAATGTGGGCATGAGATAATAAGATTCTTTTAAAAAGTATTAAAGGTGTGGTGGAGCATATACCTTACAGGGGAATACTTGGATTCTACAACAAATCAAGATATTTTTCTATGCCTATATATATGGTTAGTTAAAGACAATTTTCATGTATTGTATATAATACTATAACTAGTTTGAAGTGTGAACTTATGCTGCAAGAAGAATATTTTAAGTACTGTTGTTGTCTTTGGTTCCAATGATCTGAGAATTTCAGCTATTTGTTGGGGCAATGCGTTTTACTTTATAAAACTTTTGTGACTTTGGAGCAATCCACTTAGGATTCTTTCTGTGTAAATTTCTGTCCATCATCGCCTACATCTAGTTTGAAGCTCTCTGGTCACAATATTTCAAATAATAATCACCATAAAGTTGAAGTACAGTATTAAAAAAAAATTAAAGAAAAATTACCTGAACTATTATTTTCTTTATATTTTTGTATCTTTAGTTATTTTTATTAACTTTTCCATTTACTGGAATAGAGGCAAGGGTCTATCTATCACAATGACTTTCATGCTATTATACAGTAAGTGCATGTTTCCATTCATTTGGTTCATGCTTATGTCACTTTCTGTGATTGGAACCTCTCTTGATATATTTCCTTACTAAAGGTTTCACTTAACTGTTTGTGTGTTTGAACTGTGGGATTAAAACAACTACAAATAGAGTACACACATATTTTAAGGTCTTTAAAAAACCCTACAACTGGAACACAACCTGTGAATGTTTACCAGATGTCAGTGGGACTCTCTCCCAGGTAGGTGTGTACAGGAATATAGTAATAATCTTGGGAATGAATGTTCGTTGTAGTTGTCATTTAGTCATTTAGTCGTGTCCGACTCTTCGTGACCCCATGGACCAGAGCATGCCAGGCCCTCCTATCTTCCATTGCTTCCCGTAGTTGTGTCAAATTCATCTTGGTTGCTTCGATGACACTGTCCAGCCATCTCATCCTCTGTCGTCCCCTTCTCCTCTTGCCGTCACACTTTCCTAACATCAAGGTCTTTTCCAAGGAGTCTTCTCTTCTCATGAGATGGCCAAAGTACTGGAGCCTTCATCATATCTTTATTCTCCTTTCAGTGACCATAATCCAGGGCTGACAGGGATGTGATCATACCTTAGTGTGCATAGATTTATGCCCAATGTGCGCTACTCTGTAGTATTGTCCAAGATTCCTTGAATAACTATGTTTAGTGTTGCGGATTGGATCAAGACTTAGTAATATTCAAAGTTGATGCATTGAAATCTGTGGATTTTAGACTTGATGCCATCTGTCCAGTCAAAAAAGTTTAGGACAACTTCAGACATAGTCTGAATATACTTAGTGCCACAAATTAAAATAAGCAAGTATGTGAGAGAATCTTTCATATTATCTCAAACTTATTAATATCCATTGGAAAGAAGTGGATGGTTTTAGGTCTACCTGAAAACAAGTGGGAAGGTACTAGGAATACTGCAGTTCATGTGTATCTATAATTGACTGCAATGGGGGTTTAGATATCCTCTTGAAATTAAAATGTACATGAAATCATTCATCTTCATTCATTGACACCAATAACATATAACATCAGTCTGCTTCTGGCAAACCACCTCTCATCAATTCCCAGATAATAGTATCCATATCAGTGTTCAGTCATGTACGATCACTCCTTGTTAAGCTCTCTTGACTGACTGTTGCTTCCACCATTCCTGAAAGTGTTGTCACAGATATTTCAGCTGCTACATTGCAAAGACAATAACTTTCCCCTTGTATAATTAAAAACTTTTTCTACCCCTTGAAAAGTTGCTGTAGATAAAAAATATTTCAATGTAAAATCAGCATTGATAAATTCTGCCCAGTTTAGGCACACCCATGGTGTAAACGTGATACACAAAGTTACAGTTTTAAGCCCAAAGGCATTGGATTGAAAAAATAAATTATGAATCAAGCCATCTTTACTGTCCAGAATTATTCTCTCTTTGAAGCTCTAAGGATTGTTGCTTAGCTCTGCTGTCAACCAGAGAGATTTGCTCCTGAAGGTTCTGTAATCCACTGCTGCTGGTAATTAGACATCATTACTGCTGCATTAAAAGGAAAGAGAGAAGGGGAGAGGACAGGCTGGGGCTAATTAACTACTTGATTTTAATGAAAGAAAGAGAGACTGATAGCAGGTGGGAGTTTGCACCAGAACAGACTAGACAAGCAAAACAGATTTCATTGAAGCAAAAATAACTTACAGGCTTACAGTAGCAGTATTCTTGTCTGTTTATAAAATGGTCAAATATTCCATCTTGTTTTGTTGTTGAAAGCCTGGTGAACATCTCTAGATTACAGGCCCACATTTGGTTTAAATGGCATGCACAGAAAGAGAATCTTTAACTCACTGAATGTAGATTTAATTTATTTCAGTGTTCAATATTCTGGAGCGCAACAGGAGCAAATCAGTCCTCCAGTGTTCACATCCCTCTGTGGTGCAGGAGATGCACTCTTGGTCACCAGGCAACAACATCCTCCAGTACAGCCATTTTAGATCTACTGTGGGACAACAGACAGAATATATATTGTATGTGCACAGTTCAATGAACAATATACCTCTGGTGTTCTTAACTGTTTCCATTTTTGACATCTGTTCTTTTTCACTGAGCCCAAGATGTACTTTGAATGATATCTTAATAAGAGGTTATACATAAAAGCATTAGAGAGAAATATGCCAAATGCATGGCAATAATTAGTACAAAGTTTTAATGGTTGCTACTCAAAATCACATACTGCTACCATAACGTTGTGTTAAGTTTTAATAAACTATATAATAACTTTGTGAATAGTTACTTGGAGATCTCTTGAATTCTCAGTGAGGGTTTTTTTTTGTCTCAGAATAAACTTAGAAAGAAGAAACAGGCTGTATTGTCAAGTGGTAATGGTGGAAGAGTTATAGAATGTTGCACCTTATATTCAGAATATATATAACATATATTACCATTACTATTTAATATTTATTTAATGACAGTGTCTATGAGCTGGATAACTATAATTCTGCAGAAGTTATGGAAAAGAAAACTTCTTTATTATTTAGACAAGTGTTTAATAACAAATGTCACACAGGCTACAAAATTAACTTTAACAGAATGTGATTGGACAAAAACTTTGTAACATCTTCATGGATGCTTTTTCTTCACATGAAAACAAAAACTATCTTCTTTGTTCTAAAATGTATCAGCACATACTCATTTTCATATAAGAACTGGAACAAAGTTGGGTCATAAGTTCCTCAAGGCTATAACCTTGAGTGTACACATTATAATTAATGTATATGTGTAGGATTTATGGGTGGGGGCTTGAGTTAGGGTGCAGGGACAGGGTGCAGAATGAAGTGCAGGTGGTCATTAGCCTGTCAAAGCAGACAGTTATTTTGGCTCTCAGTGTATACCCTGCTAATTTTGGGGTAGAACATGTGTGGATTTATGCTACTATCTGAGGAAATGGACCTGTCTATGAAAGCTCACATTAAAATATAACAGTCTTTTAGATACCACAATGTTTTTGTCTACTTTATTTTTTTCTTCTTATGTTTTTGCCTGATATGGCTAAGAGGTGTGTACTGATAAAAAGACTGATTAATGAATTCTGCATACCAATATTTTGGCTGTCCTCAGGAAAATGTTTGAGGAATCGCATCTTTAAGTTAATCTTTAGAAAGGAAAACGCGTACTACTTTATATGATTAATGGGCCATTCCTGATTTGCTGCATTGTTACATTAGTGTTTAAGACATGAGTGGGCAACGGTGGCTCTCCAGATGTTCTTGAACTACAGCTTTCATCACTTCTTGTTATTTATTTATTTATTTATTTATTTATTTATTTATTTACAAAGGGGAGACTAGGAGAATTTTTATTTTATTTATTTATTTGTTTGGTTTATATCCCGCCCATCTGGTATATTCTACCACTCTGGGCGG